GCAGACCCAGAACACGCTGGAGAGATTACATATCTCATCTGGTCTGGGAATTCCTGGGAATCCTGCCAGAGGAGCTGAAACATGTTTCCGGGGAGAGGGACGTCTGGTCTACCTTACTGAACCTGCTGCCGCTGTGACCCGACCCCAGATAAGCAGCAAAAAAATGGATGGACGGATGGATGCATGCATACATGCAAGTGAGACAGAGCTTCTGCACTTGTCCTGCAGAGAGGACAGTTACATAATTGCTGAACATTGGCCAACTGTCTGAATACTGGGAAATACACAGGCAAAAGCCCCCTCCACTCCAACACACATAGACACCCAGCTGCCCACCTCTGCTACTCCTTTTGTGTTTTCTACAGCAGACAACTGCTCTGCTGAAGGTGTATTCTGCTGAAGCCTGATTACAAATGTCCCTGGCAACCTGCTGTACCCAGACAAAACAAGGAAAGCAGAGGAAACCGTCCAGCAGGTTTCAGGAAAAGATCTTCCTCACAAACAAACACTGGTCAAAATCAGTCCAGTATGTGCAAAAGCAGCAGGGAAGGGCAGGCATAAGCTATACACAAAGCACTGACCTACATCCACAGTAACATTACACCATTATGGACCAGCTAGCCAAGCACCCATTAGGAACATTTATGCTTGTGCATTGAAATATAACAATTTGTTTGCATAATGTTACTTAAGAGGCTGTAAACTTTCAATCTGTCCTCGCTCCCAAACAAATGTTCCAAAGCTGGAACATTTTCTTCCAGGGTTATTTGTGAATTTGTGTTTTCTCACTGCTTGTGGGCTTGGCATTATAAATGTCCATTTTTTAACTGTTTTTTTTTATGTTCTGATGCAACTAACACATCTTGCATGCAACCACACATAGGTAGGTTTACTGTGTACATAGACATAGTGGCATAAATCGCTCTGATATAACTGTAGCAGCATACATATGGAATCAGCTCATTGTCTTAACCCACTCCATACATTACATCGTGTACTGTGCAGAACAGACTGTTAATAATTTACAATTCACTTTATTCTTGTTTAACTTCGTCCACTGTAACTAAGAGTTTTTATTTTTATTTATTGACTGAAACTAGCAGTAAAGTGGTAAACCCAGAGGTAAAATGTGTGGATGCTATACAAAGGCTTGTAAACAGGCTGCTCGGTTCAAGACAGTGTAAGGAGAAAAATAAGGCAGAGATTTAAAGAAAAGGCAGTAAAATGCAAAAATAAAAGATAATGGATGAAATGAAAGATATGTGGGTTGAATTTAAATAAATTTAAGTCCATGTTTGTGAGTAAGAGCAGAGTTCTGTATAAAACAGTTTTAAACAGAGCAGAAGCACAAAGCAATTGGAAAAAAAGAGACAAATACATTTTCCTTTTTCCTTTGCCTTCAGTAATATTTCCAAACCAGGTTCTTCATTTTGTGCAAGATTAACCTAATTAAAAATGGAAAGGATTAGGAAAGATATATCCTAAGTGTCTGCTATAGCTAGCTACAGGGCTCTAAAATGTTTGATTAATGAAATATGAATCATAGACTGGTCCCATTACTGCCGCTAGCTGAGCTAATACAGACAGTTTGGCCTGACACCATTACTCAGCAGGAGTCTAGCCCACATCGCAGAGCCATTAGGCCTCATGGGGCCTTGTTTTTTGCTGCTGCTCACTGTGAGAAATGTAACCGGATCAGCTTATGAGCCCACCTGTGCCAGCAAATAAGAGACTATAACGACACAGCGCAGTGTGAAAGTAAGAGCTAGCTAGAGGATACAAAAAAGTAGAAAAAAAAAGGACAAAACAAACATTTTACATTAGGTTATTGCTGTTTCAGTAGTAAAAGATATTGTGCTTTGAATGTCTGCATTGGTTGTTTGCCTGACATATCCTAAAGCAGGGTAGAATTTAGCTCAGAAAATAGCTGCAAAACATTGTGGGTTCACCTTCAGAGAGGTCACTTCTCTGAGGTTTTAGAATCTATGCTCAACACTGGTAGCCAAACCAGACGAGGCATTAAGCCATGTGCTAAATCCTGTGTATTCAGTTTTTCCCCTCTGATGGGGCATGCAGGGTGAGGCTGGCTGACATTTATCCAAGGTCAATGAGATCAACATGCTCCATAATGACTAATAAATTGTCAACTGTGGCTAAATGAGCACTGACAGCCACTGGCATGTCAAAACATTACTTAAGTTTTTTTTCTCTCTTTCTCTCTAAATGAGTGCTGCATCAGTGAAGTCACAGGACTAATTTCCCCCACACATCTCTCTCGAAACACCAATTTAAGATGCAGAGCAGGGCAAAGGGTGAAGTTCAGCCCAGGCAGGGGCAGACTGTTTTTGTTGGACCAAGCTCTGTTACACACTCATCAGTTATGGAAATGATGTATGCTCCTAGCCGGTTTTCTACAGGAGGGAAACATTTTATGTGCCAAGAGCAACATGAGCAGAGAAAATTACATTATTTGTGTATACAAGAGGAGAGCAATGGGTAATTGCAAGTGGGGTCCAAATCGCAGGAGCGACAAGAAATTCATCTCATTGTGCTGGAAAACTAGAGTCAAAGTTCTAGAGGACTTGTTTTTGAGTAGAGGGAGAGATAATGAGTTGAACAGTTTGTGCTGGCAGGGCTAGACCAGCAGAAGGCTATAAGGAGCTGACAGGTTTCACCAGGCAGCACACAGGGTCAGCTGCATAAAAGCTCTCCTAAAAGCAATGGACAATAAATACCTGTTTCTTTTCTGATGTTATTCTAAGTGCAGTATAAAACCAGTAACTTCAAACTTAAATTTCACTACGGTTGCATGATATTAATAGGTTTTATGTCTATTGAGAATCAGTGGTAAAAGTTGTATTCCGACACTTTACTTGTATAAAGCCACTCTGTGTAGCATGTTGTGTCTTTTTGTGATTGCTGCATCATTTAAATTATTCATATGGCACATACAGTTTTGTTTGTGAAAACATAAGAAAACCCAAGTGTTGATTTCACTCCATTCATCCAGTATTCCCTGCTGGCTTTGCCACAGTGTCTCTTGATACTAACACTTGGGCAAAGTCAGAGATTTTCAAAGTCAACACATTCTACACAGCTGTATTAGTAATGACGAGAGTTTTAAATTGACGCTTTAACAATAAAAGACCTGCATTTTACAGTAAATGTTACTTAAAACTTGATTCACTTATTTTTCAGTGACTTCGCGGGCAAAAACAAGCTATGAAGACAGAATTCACATTTTATTACCTTATAAATTTGATACGGTAAATGCACTGTGGCGTAGCAGAAACAACAGTGCTAAATGAAAACAGTTGATGAGAGCAGAGAGTGAATGTAACCAGTAAAGCTGGGAAGGCACAAAACCAAGATAAGAGATGGTATAATGCTACATGTAGTTGAGGGGGACTGCAAAATCAGTTAATAATTCTCTGTTGGTAGACTCCTTTCATATTACATATTACACACAGTCATTTGATTCACTGTTATTTTTAAAAAATATTAAAAATATTTATTGCTGCCACTAACTAAAAATACAATATTATCAACATAATGTAAAACAATGAAATACTTTCATAAATGCACCTTTTACACTATTATTATAAACATACATTTTAATTACATAATGTATTGTTAGTCAGGTCTTAAGGTTTAAGCTAATTATGACTACTTCAGATGACTTTAGTTGAATCTATTGATCAATACATATTTTTTAGCTGACTATGTCTGATACTGTATGTAAATAAGTAAAAGTTTGTTGATTAAAAAGTACGGTATTGTTATTTCAAATGTATTAAAGTAAAAGTACAATGTAGCACAAAGCTGAAATGGTACAGCATGTCTGTCTCCACTACTGTTGATAACAGGAGGTAATGAGAAGTGAATGCACTAATACCTTATTGATTAATACCTCAAAAATAAAATAAACTGTGCCAAGTAACATCACTTCTGAGACAGAAAGTCACTGAGACAACACTAAAAGATGTCTTTGTAATCCAGTTATTCAAGACAGTGTGTTCACCACGGGGATCACAGATAATGTCAAACTGTGAACTGGTACATAATGAAAAGGAGAAATATTGACTATTTGTACTGTTTGCAGTCGAGGGAATACCTTCCCAGAAATGGAGCAGAAAAGTAGTTGGTATTCTTGCTGCCAAATAAACCAACAAGAGGCGCTGTGGCCCTGTTGACAAAAGAAAACATTTCTGTCAGGACTCCATCAACATTTATGTTAGAGAGGCCGAGTCAGAACTGCCAGCAGTTTAACTAATCAACAGCAATGTGCTCCTGCATCTGAGCCCTGTTGCTACAGAGCATTACGTCAAATACATTTACTGTAACACACACACACACACACACACAGTCAGAGAGGGCGAGAGCGAGAGGGAGACATCTTTACACACCACAGACCTCCCAGGAAAACAAACACAGGAAGAGGATGGAGGCTTGGAGCAATGTCCTCAAGCAAAAAAAATGTGCGAAAGCCAGTGTTGCTGGTCTACTTTATCACTGCAATTATGATTCAGCATCTGTTCCTCTTAGTATATGATCAGCCAGCTCTCCTCCAGCTCTGAGGGAGCGGCTGGATGGCCAGTCTCTGGAGATGAGCTGCAGATTGCTCTGAGGTGTTGGCACTCTGCCAAGGCAATTCTGTCCTGTCCTTTCAGATCCTTATCAAGGGCGCCAATAACAAAAGGTAAATCACAGCTCCAATGGGTGAGTGAGAGACAGAGAGAGGAGTGCATCAGTGCATGTGTATGTTACATCTGTGTCTGTGTTGCCTAAATGCCTGTGCCCAAATGAATAAATAAAAACGTGTTTTACACCATTTTCAATGAGACTGTTTATGCAGCAGCTTATTTGACTTCATCTGCTTGGCTGTGTGTGGGGGTGGGAGTGTGCATATGTGTCAGTGCAACAAGCCAGACAACAGCTTATCAACTCTCAGCTTATGTCCCCCCCATCAATCCTTCCTCCTTCCTCCTGTGTGTGTGTACCTGGTCAGCAGGCAGCAGTCATGAAGCAGGGTTTCCTCCACGTAGACACCCTGGTCCTCCTGCGTGGTCACTACCTGGCTGTTGTGACGCCACCACAGCTCAACCGACGCGTCCACGTAGGAGGCAGTACACTGCAAGGGGAGCCGGTCTCCACGGAAAACCAGTTGTCTCTGGGAAGGGATGAGCTGGAAGAGGGGCATCTCTGGAGGTCCATCTGGAAGATGAGAATTAGACAGAAAGGTCAGATTGTAAATATTCCCTTTCATTTTCATAAGATGAAAAAATATAAAGGGAGTGTGGGGAGGTCGTTCTTCCATCCAAGACAAAGTAAGAAATGGAGTTGCAGGGGATGGATGTTCTGTATGATTTTGTCTGTCTACAAACACAGCATTACATGCATCATCTGTAATTAAAATCAGACTCAAGCTTGCACACAACAGCACAAACACATACATTCTACACACACAAATATATGCATGCCCCCAAAATACTCTCAGTGCACACAGGCACACACACACATTCTCTCACGGTCTCACTCCTCCATCATTTTTCCCACATGTTGTTGCTGTTGCTCAGTGAGATGAACAGCAGTTGATAAAGAACAGCCTTGAGCAGTCCCTTGGACTGTCCTTGACTTCTTACATGTTCACAGTGGAAGCCTTCTGCAACAACAGCGATAGGATTACTTACCCAGCAGCTGGCTAAGTCCTCAAGCCTTTTTGCCAGAGAATAAGTGGACAATAAGGATGAGAGTAGAAGTTCAATGCCAGAATATACGACAAGGCTCAAATTTTAATCAAGTTTATTGATCTAATCACACCACAGATGTCAGATGTACTGTACATATAAGGCAGTGCAATGTCTCTTAGCATGATCAGCCCAAGTAGACATTGCCTGGCGAGTGTGGACTGGCCTTTGGATCCAGGGTTAGCCCAGCACCGCTGTACCACTTTTGGAGTGTGTTTGATCATACAGGGCTAGACCTCTCCTGGACATGCAGCAAAGAACAGCACAAACAAGTTGTCTTCACCTGTATTCCAGTCAATTCTGGATATTGCTGCTATCTGACAGGCAGTTTGAACCATGGGTAGTACAGTCTTTTATTGCTGTATGCATTGGTCTAAAAACAAATATAACATTAAGGTTAGGTGATCTACCTGAATGTCTAGCCCACAACTAATATTTCCTGTGAAGAAACGGTCGTGTTAGCTGCTCTAACACAACTGTTTATGGTAATATAAAACCCACAGAGCAATCAAAGATATTAACACATGCAGGGCGGTGACCTCAATTTTCTACAAAACTAATTCATAATCATAAGTGCATAATCAAAAGTGCCATGCATTTGAGAGCAACATTAAAAATCTGTCACTAATATTGGCTCTTCCTTGATGACATTTCTGTGTAATTACTTGAGCTGACCCTGTGTTGAGACTATGATAGCTCTCAGCAACAGTAGCTAACGGCTTGGTTATCTCCGGTGGGTGACAAAGAGCAGGAACAGCATGGTGGCCATTGACTGATGACTTGGCTGGTGCTGATACTGTTGAATCAATGCTCCGAGCCAAGGATGAGAGGGTAGCTGCTCGCCTTCACCTGTTGGACACTGCCAGAGCAAAATGCAACTACTGGTTGTGTGTGCAAGTGTGTGTGAGTGTCAGAGAATAGGAGGAGAGATGAAGACAGAGGCATGATTATATATGCGCTTGGATGCATGTGTGCAAGTACAAGTACGACAGTATACTGTTGCTCATTCTGTGGACTACCAGAGCTTTGTGAGCATACAGAAAGATGTGAAATCTGAAAGAAAGAAATGGACATCACAGTTCTAATGCAAAGTCTTATTCACTGACCTGTAGCATCTGTGAAATCACAAAATGTAAGTAAAACAGGTTCAAGTACAATCATAGTTAAAAGAAAATTCACCCTCCGATTTTATGTTTTTATTATTGTGTGGTCCTCAGCAACTTCTGTAAACAAAACAATAGCCTCAGATGACAAAAAAAACAACAACAAAAAATTCTGCAAGATTTCAATATGTACAGTGGTCACCTTTTCCCAAAGGTAAACCAACGTTCAGTAACCAGGTGGGAAAATAAAAGTACTCCCTACAATTCAGAAATATGTAGAACCACCCTTAACTTCAAGTAAATATTTTCTGTAGGAGCTGAGTCTCTCACATTGTTTTAGAGAAATGTTGGCCCTCTCTTCTCCACAACATTGCTTCAGTTCATTAATGTTTGAAGGTGTTCATTTATGCACAGCTCTCTTAAGATCCTGCCACAGCATCTCAGTGGAATTGAGGTCTGGACTTTAACCTGACCATTCCAGCATCTTGTTTTTTTTTCTTCTTCAGCCATTCAGGTGTCAATTTGCTTGGGATCATTGTCATGTTGCATGTCCCAATTTTGGGCCAGCTTAAGCTGCTGGACAGATAGCCTCTTCTCATTTGTCTCAAGAATATTCTGGTATAAAATGGAGTTGCCTCAATGACTGGAAGTTTCCCAGGTCCTGTGGCTGCAAAACAAGCCCATATCATCATCTCTCTAACACCATGCCTGACAGATGGTATGAGGTGTTCGTGGTGATACACTATTTGCTTTCCGCCAAAGCCGCTGTGCATAATGACCAAACCTCCACTTTGGTTTCATTATAGTCCAAAGGATATTGTTCCAGAACCGCTGTGGTTTGTTCAGATGCACTTTTGCAAACCTAAGTCATGCTGCCATGTTCTTTATGGAAAGAAGGGGCTTTTTCCAATACACCATTTTGTGAAAGTCATGCTTGTTCAGTGTTTATCTAATTGTGCTGTCATGAACATAAACATTTAATGTGCTTGCAGAGGCCATGATGAAGCTCTTGGGTTTTTATTTATTTCTCTTACCATTAAACAATTTGATCTTAGACTGAATTTGAAGGTTTTTTTTTTTCTTTTCTTAGCATGATGTAGACACAGACCTTGGTGCTTCAGAACACCCAACAGCCAAAAGTTCTGCTTTTACACTTCTTAATTATTGACTAACCCTGTGCAATTGATTAGCAACACCTGGATGCTGATTACTTTCTTAATGTCTGTGCAGATTCTCAGTCATCCAGGTCATCGTAGGCTAAAAAAAAACTTCGAAAAAAATCAACTTGACTATATTCTGAAGAACCGATGAAGCCTCTTGGATGAGAAGTGAAATGTCTTCGACCTAGAAATCTAGTCCATTTGATTTTTCTAAGTTTTTTTCCAGATTACTTTCTTAATGATTGTGAAAGTTGGAAGGCATGCACTTTTTTTCCCCACCTGGTTTCTGAATGTTGGTTTACTTTTGGGAAGCAGTGACCACTTCGGATTTTTGTTTGTTTGCTTGTTTGGTCACCTGGAGTTTTTTTTGTTTATAGATGTTGGTGAGGTCCACACTATTGTTTTTTTTTTAGGCTCTGATTAAAAGAGGGTGTATTTTCTTTTTCCCATGACTGTAGCTCTTGTTCAAAAGCTGATTTAGCTACTTGATCTGCTGCACTACTGTTAATAAAATGCAGCTTGCATTTAGTAACAATCTGTCATCTGACAAACAAGTTCTTGGAAGAAACCAGTTTATGAACTATATTCATCTACAACACAGCGGAGACAAACCAGTAAAATGGAGCAGCATGCCAACATTTGTGAAAAAGTATGATAATTTAATTCCAGGTGCTGTAGCTGTGTACTGTACATCACTTAACAATTATGTTCTGATGATGTTGCTACTCCTTACAAACTACACCCAGTGAACAGTTCTTTAGCCAAATTGAGTTAATCCAGCTTCTAAATCACAGAGGCTGTGTTCATACAGATTTTCCACTACCCTCACAACAGACCATGGTTACTGGACATAACAAAGATGGTCTCAAAATGCCTGTGAGATATAAATATTAAAAAAGGCAGGAACAAAACAAGGCTAAAATCACACTGAAGCAAAGCGTCTTCAGTTTTGTTGACTAACCCTAGACTACCACTGACAATGACTAATTCTATTCACAGTCTTTAAATGACGAATGATTAATTACTGTTAAGTGTTAAATTAAGTCATACATTTTAAAAAAGACTTTCAATTTTGACTATTTGATTTACTTAATCCATTTTATTACGTCGCATAATTAATGATTTTTCTGCGTCAACATTTATATACTCTATGTGTAAGCAGTGTGTCACTTTAAACCACAGAGAGACAACTGGAGCTTTGATTGGCCAGCTGTTATGTACACTGATGTGTTCTGTATGGGATCAGGGCAATCAAGCACTCCTGCTGCAGCATCACTGAATTTATCAATATGTACAAGCATTTTTAAATTTATCAACATATTAATCAAAAGTAACTGTAAAATAATTGTTTTCAAACAGGCACACGCCTGGCTCCATATTTCTCTGTGACTGCATTACAAAGTTAATAAAGTAGCTGTCACAATTTTGAAGCGCCATGCTAGATAGTTTATTTCCTTTATTGCCATCTGTCCTTTTTATTTTACATAATCAAAGGTTTAACTTTTCAGTGTTGACTTTGATCTATAGCAAATCTGTTTTGAAAATAAAATGAAAAGACTGGTGCCTCTGTATCTGTTTCTGTATTCTCTTCATTATCCCCTTCTCAAAAGAACTGATTTTAAAAGGTGTGCGACTGAACTTCAAAGACTATTAAAAGAGACTGTGTTGAGTTATTTTTCACGGCACATGACACTACAGGCTAAAAGAAATAGGCCTGCATGAGACATTTAATTTAATGACATGATTCCCATTAAGGGCATTTGTACTTCCATCCCAGTGTGCAATAAATACTGCTATAGAAAGCAGAGGCTTGTCCTGCAATGTCCTTGTCCTGCAAACATGCCATGTTTACTTCCTACTTTATGTGTGTGGTGTGCCTCTCATCTCAGCAGTGTCAAAGAACTAGAAGTCCATGGCTAGATGAATCAAACAGATGCCTGCCCTGACCTCAACACAGCACCTGACCCTGGCAGGAAGCTGTATGTGCTCCTCCGTTCCTCCTCATTTGCAGGCAGTACCCGATCAGTATCAAGTGGAGGGGTGAGGATTCATTCCTGCAATGTATGGTGCAGACATCTGCTACCCATCATGCTGTAGCTGCTGGACAAAGAAACAGATTAATCTTCTATGATGTATCTTCATTAAATAAAAATAGTGAAAAATCTCAGTGGAGCAATCTTAATATTTCCAATGGTATGTGAGTG